TCTAGCTGTTATATATGTAATCACTATAATTAGGTTCTTTAATCATTTTAGATATTTTGAGATGAAATGTATCAGACTTACAGAATGTGTTTTCTCCTGCTTTATTATATTATATAATCATGAAAAACTGTTAACAAGTATTGATTTTCCAATCCATACTAAATATACCTGTATCTATAATTTTAGCAAGTTTCAAAATCATTTGTTGATTTATGGACTCACTTTAGGTCTGAGCTTAAAATATCTATATTTTCTTCAATAATTTTCCTAGGAAAAGAACCTACTTTATTATGTACTTACCTTTAAATGATTGCCTGCAACAGCATCGTGTAAGGGTAGAATTCCATCTACACTTTCACAATTAACACTAGCACCAGCTTTTAATAACTCGACAATTATATCACTAAATCCTGCATTAGATGCCTCATGAAGTGGTGTCCAACCTAAAAAAGAAAAAAAGAACAAAAGAAGCCACTCTTTACCAATCAACATTCATAAAATTTTGTTAAAATTTTTTTGCATTAGTGGAATTAATATTTATGTATATTCTAGTATCAACAAGAAATATAGTACAGATAGCCTTGAACTATAAGTTTCACTTTTGAACACTAATTGATCTCCTCATAAATATTGATGAAAACAACTCACAGGATATAAGATATACTGGAACGAGAGTAAATGCTAATCTTCTCAATTTGTTTCAACTAAGCTACTAAAATGGCTTTCATATCTGTCTCTTCACACTGTCACATTTCTCTAGAAAACGACAACTGGGCCCATTAACCACTGGGGTTTCCTTCTGGAGTTCTTCATAGATTGTGTGTATAAGCAAAATGTTAGAAGATCAATTTCTAAACTAGCATGTTAGAGTACAAATGAGAGAAAAGAACAGAAGTAGAGAATAGTATAAAGGGAGGAGAAAAGAAAGGAAGGTACAGAAAACCCAAGTATTTTGTATCAGCTCCGAAGTCAGGGAATGGAGTTAAGGTTTCCAAGAAAAAGAACTAGCTCCTTTATTTTTCATTCTCTATTCCCCTTAGAATGCACTCAAGTGGATGCAAAAACTGTTTCAAAGGACAGCATTACTTTAGTAATGTTGAACAGTAACATTCAGTTAAGCAAAAATATAGATCAAAGTTAGTTATATCAGCCAGGATTGAAACTGGAGGAGGTGGGCCGGCCAAATAGCTCAGTGGGTTAAAGCAATTCCAAGCAGGGTTCGACCAGACCTGCCTTGCTGGCCCCACCCCTGGGGCAAGCTGAAATCAGTAACTGAGACTGGGTGTGGTGGTGTGTGCCTGTAATCCCAGTATTTTGGAGGCTGTGAACAGGTGGATCACTACGAGTCTGATCTAGTATTGAGACCCTGAACATCCTATAGACCATTCCCTAAAACACGCATACATACACACACACACACACACACACACACACAAAAAAAAAAAAAAAAAGAAAAGAAATTGGAGGAGGGGATAAAATATGGACTCCATTGAGGTCAAATTATACAAACAATTAGATCAAAAGTATCCAAACCTGCATTGTCTTTTAGATTCACATCTGCTCCAGATTCTATCAGAACTTGAACTAGGGACAAATCTCCTCTTCTGGCGGCTGAATGAAGCCTGCTTTCCCCTCTGGCATTCCTCTTATTGATTCCAGTTGTTTTCATTTCTGCAAATTTTCCAAGCAAAACTGAGGCTGGAACAATTTCCCCAAAATAGTCCAAACACATCAATTAATAGTAATTGTTTGTTTTCTAGTAGAACTCATGAAGAAATTATAGAGCATTTAAGCAAATTGCACTCATTCTAACAGCTGTTCAACACTGGATAAACTAATTTTCAGTTGTACAGTCATCTCATTCTCCATAGCTACATATGTATAACTCTCAGTAGTTCTTCAGCAATGGCTAAAAATTTTTTCTTTCTTTCTTTTTTTTTTTTTTTTTTTTCCCAGAACCGGGGATTGAACTTAGGCCCTTGTATTTGCCAGGGAAGTGCTTATTCCACTGAGCCATCTCCCCAGCCCTAAAATTTTTCTTATCTAAACTATGCTAATATAAAACCCTTTTTTATACAGCTAATCTTTATCTCAGTAGGCCTATTTGGCTTTTTTTTTTTCATAAAAGATTCGGTATAATAGTGTTGTCCGAAAACACTTTTTTAGCAGTTTTTTTGCAGTGGGAGTTAGAGAAACTTACAATGGAACTAAAGCAATGAACAGATCATATAACCCCCATTTCACCATTAAGCCCTGCTAAAAGGACAGAACAATATATTTTTAAAGTATCATATAGAGAGAAGGAAACTAGAAGACAAACTTCAAAATTTGGAGAGAGCTGAAAAGTCAATGGTGAAAGAATATGGAGTGATTTAGCAGAGTGGAATGCTCTAACCTACATGACTACAAAGGGAATTTTAAAGGAAGAGAGCCCGTCTGATCCAAGGCAGTCAGCACTTTTGGAAGGCAAATGCATGAAACAGAGCAGAGAGACTGACTAAAAGTTTATGTAGAGAAATTCTGGAACTCCAACTTCCATTCTCCTACTCTGAGTTGGCTGGCAATGACTCCTCCTATTCCAGACCCCACCCCAAAGCAAGAGACATAGAGGTTTATTTCTTGTACGAGCTGCAACAGAGAAGATTCGGACTGAGATTAAAGCAAAATAGAGAGTCAGGGTAACAAAACAGAAAAGATTACTCATTAAATCAGCAATACCAGTATCACTTAGCAAATTTCCTAGAAATGCAAATTTTGCAGCTCACCTTAAACCCGCTCTGAAAAGAACACTCTAAAATGACTTGTACCAACATAGAAACTAATCTCGAGGGACAAAAGTCCTATCTGTCAGATTATTGATTACATGGAAATAAGGAATGAAGTCCTAAGTGAATAAAAATGAAATGCCAAGTTATCATTTAAGTATTATAGGACTGAAATTTCATGTTTCTATTTTTTAAAAAAGGCAACAACTTTATTTTTTTTCCCACTTTGTGTATTTGGTACAGGGTCTCACTATGCACATCAGACTCGTGGTGATTCTCCTGTTTTCAGCCTCCCCAGCGCTGGGATTACAGGCATGCACCACTAGACCTAGACTCTGTCACCAGCTCAGTGCACACTGGGGGTGGGGCTGACATAGCACGCAGGACCAGGGATCGAACCCTGGTCCCTGCGTTTGCCAAAGCAGGTGCTTAGTGCACTAAGCTATCTTGCTGGCCCTCTAAAGACAACAACTTTCTTCAGATAATAACCTGAAACACCATCTTTTATTCCTGAAATACCTGTGCATTCATGCTGCCTCTTCAGGCTGACCTTTTTAAAAAGTTAATTATTTATTTGGCACAGAGTCTCACTACACACCTCAGCCTCAGTGATCCTCCCCTCTCCGCCTCCCCAAGCACCACCTTGCCTGGTTTTGGTGGCTGGTTCTGCACAAGGCTGGCACAGCAGGCAGTACCAGGGATCAAACCTGGGTCCTTGGGCTTGCCAGGCAGGCGCTTAGACCACTGATCTATCTCCCTAGCCCTGTTTGACTTTTTAAGTCATAGATTTTTCTTGGGGTCTTATCCTCGAATAAAGAAATTGCTTCTGAGTATCTCAAAAGCACAAATAAATAAAATTGCTCTGAATGATCTTCAGTTTTGTGTATTTGTGGCTTCATCAATAATTTTCTTCTAACCAATTGAAGACCTCAATATTAAAGGCACTTCACTCCCTTTTCAGATGATTTTGATGCAAGCTAAGGTTTGAGAATCACTGCATTAAGCTGAGAATGATAGCAAACACCAGTAGTCCCAGCCACTGGAGAGGCTGAAGTAAGAGAAT